CCACCCTCCAGCCCCTGCCTTCCCATTCATTCCCCCGCCAAGGTACTCACAGCTCCGTGTCCTCCAGGGCGGGCGGGCGCTCCAGCGCCTGCCTCCGCCTCCGCACGGCCCCCATGATCTTCTTGCGGGACCCCAGGGGGACACTGATGCTACGCAGGTCGAGGTCTGAGCACAGCATCAACGCTTCCAGGTCGATCTTCTCTTGCCGCAGGAGGGAGGTGAAGTCCTCCATGTGCAGGGAAGCCAGGAAGGTCTCCAGCGGGCTCGTCTCGGGCTCCAGGTCCTCGTCGAGGCCCAAGTCCAGCTCATCCCAGGGCAGCTCCTCCCCGCAGCTGCGGTCCTGCAGGCTGTTGGCACTGCCCAGGCTGTCATCGTCCAGGCTGGGGGAGCTCTGCAACCGACCCCGTGGCGTGCCTGCGCCATCCAGCGCCGCGTCCTCCCGGCCCAGCCCGTGCAGCCCGCTGCTCAGGTAGTTCCGGCGGAACACCATGGTGCCCAGGCCAGGGCGGGTAAACAAGGAGTCATGGCCTGAGTCGGTGCTGACCTCCGAGTGGGCAGGCTCGGCCGCCAGTGTGGCACGGGAGACGCTGTCCTCGTCGGAGAGAAACATGTCCCGGAGCGGGGAGCGACCCCACTCCTTGGGGTTGGCGTAGGGGCCCTGGCGCACGAACATCACGTCGCTGCCCAGCTGCAGGCCCGAGAGCGAGCGCACACTTTTGCGGCCGTCCTCCGAGATCTTGAAGGTGCCCTCGCCGCCCTGCTTGCGCCGCTCCAGCTTCCGCTGGATCTTGGTCTTGCCCCTGTTGGTGCCATGCAGTGTGGCCTGCGAGTAAGGCAGGTGGCTGCCCAGCGCCAGGTGCTGCAGCCGCCGGCTCAGGGTGCTGGACGTGAGGCTGGAGAAGCTGAGCGTGTCGGAGCGCTCGGCCAGCTCGCGCCGGTAGCGCCGCTCCATGCGCTCGTGGTGCTTGCGCTGCATCTTGGCGCACTCGCGGATGCGCCGCTCCGCCTCGCGGAAGGCCTTGTCCTTCAGTTTGCCGATCAGCTTGGGATTGAGGCTGCTCTGCTTGGCCGCGATGGAGTCCAGATAGCGCACGCACTCCATGTGGCCCTTCATGGCGGCCATGTCCAGCGGGGTGTGGTAGTCGTTGTCCAGGCACCAAATGTTGGCTCCGAACGACACCAGGAAGGAGAGGCAGTGCAGGTGACCATTGGAAGCTGCCAGGTGCAGGGGCGTGTTGCCCCAGATGTCACACTTGTCCGGGTCACCCCTGCAGTGAGAACACGTGGAGAGGGGTGATGAGCCATGACAAGCCCAGTGGCTGCAGGTGTGGGGAGCTCCCAGCCCCCCACGGGCACACCAGAGGGCCCCGAGGGCCTGAGATCTCTCCTCTTGACTCCAGAAGACACGCAGCCCTGAGGCACTAGACTAGACGGACACAGAATGTCCCCGGGTAGGCAGCGGGTGGGGCAACAGAGAAGGCGGGGCCAGGGCGGGGCCTTCCCCAAGAGAACTGAGGGCTGGGAATCTCAGGGGATAAATAATTGATGCCCAGAGAGAAAGGAGTGAATTATTCATGGGGCCCAGCGGGGAGCTGGCCCAGAGAGGTGGTGGGCCAGGGCGAGTCTGGGTCTCTGGGCGGGCGTGGTGGTGAGCATGCCTGCGTGTGCAGGAGTGACCATGAAAGAGGACAAGAGGGTAGTGTGTGCTGGGCCTGAGCCCTGGGTGAGTGTGAGGAAGTGTGCTTGTGTGGTGGCGGGCACAGCCACGTCAGCAGGGAGCAGGGCCAGGCCTGGCAAGCCCGAGTGTGAGAGCAGGTGTCGGGTCTTGGCCTGGGCCAGAAGGGGAGTGTGGGGGCAGCCAGGACTAGAGGTGGGGAGGAGGGAAGTCTGCAACCCGGGCCCAGCCACCCTCCCTGCCCCTGCTGCCCCATCTGTAGGAGCCCTGTGAGGCAGGCTGGCTTGGACCTGACCAGGGAACTCACCCAGCCCCCAACACCCTCCACATCAGGCAGTATTCCCTCCAGCAGAATCCTGATGCTGCTCCAAGCTCTCCCCTCCCTCAGGGGCCAAGCTCAGCGCCCCTGTCTCATGCTAATGAGGCCACAAGGTCACCTCTCAGGACTGGAGAAAGAATCACCCCTTTGTTATTGCTGCTCCCTGAACAACCCCCTCCTCACTTCCCCAACAAGTTGCCAAGTTCTGCAGGACAATGTGGGGAGGGGCTACTTGGCATCTGATGTTCACACCTAAACACCAAACTTTACCCTCCGTGAAATTTGGGGGGAGAGGGGGGAGTCTTTCTGAGGGAGGAGGCAGGAGGGCAGGATCACTGTGTGCCCTCTTGGTGTGGGGAGGGGCCAGTCTTGGCCTCCTGAATGTGGTTCAGCTGCCTGGTCTTAGGGGCTGCAACCACGTGCTGGGCCCCAGGAACCAAGGGAAGACAAGGGGGTTCCCCACCCACCACAAATTCAGGCCACAGGCCAGCACCTGGCACCAGGTCCTGCTGGGCCCCTGGCTCTCCAGCAGGACTCCGTGGGCCTGAGATGTGCATGTTGACCCTCCGGGGGCATCTCTTTCACTTTCTCTCCATCCAGCCACCCTGGTGTCCAGTTTGACCTGACTTATCTTTATAAACCTGCTGGGGGCGGGGAAGTTGTCCACAATGTCATTCAGCCCCAGGAGCCCCCTTCAGCGTCCCTGGACCCTGCATTCCTCAACTGCTACCTCCAAATCCCTTCCCTGGCCCAGGACACCCGGGCTCTATACCTACTCCTCCCCCTAGACAACTCCAAAGGGAGGGTGAGAGTCTTTGTGGGGGAGGGGCACAGAGGGAATAGTGGGGTGGCTCAACCCAGTGACATTTGGTACTGTGGACAATGCCCATAAATCCCAGCAATGAGCAGGGAGAGAGAGTCTGAGCCCCAGCCTGGCAGGAGCGGGGTACTGCTGGAAGAGCCCTTTGGGTCCCAGGCTGGGGGTGGGCAGTGAGGAGCCCCTCTTTTCCTAGGCCCACTCTGACCCTCTGAAGCTCCCGCACTTTCTCTCCATCTCTCACTGTGCCTCTGCTCTTGCTTGAGGGTGCCGCGCCCAGGAGACCTCTCCCACACCCCCTCCTCCCCCTTACTCTGCAGCCCCTCCCACATACATGAACCCCCAAATCCTAGTCCTCCCCTCCCAGCCCCATATCCAGGTCACAAGTGTCACATGCCTCAGCTTGTGTCCCCTCCCTCCAAGACTGCCAGACCCCGAGGTCTCACCTTAGGGTCTGTCGCTGGAGAAGGGAGTGGCTCGGAGGAGAGGGTGCCTGGAATCTGGGGGAGGGTCTCAGGGGGCTGGAGAGCGCTGAGGCTCTCTTCCCCACCCCCTGCGTGGCTGGGTACTCACCCCCGGCTCACGATGAGGCGCAGAGACTCCAGGTTGCCATGGTAAGCAGCCCAGAGGGTGGGGGTCATGCCATCCTCGTCGGGGGCGTTCAGCTCCTTCCGGGTGGCCTCCTTGAGGAGCTCCAGGTAGCCGTCCCGGGCCGCCCGGTGGTACTGGTCGTTCATGGCTCCCGACTTGGACGGGGCGGGCAGGGGGCCCGGGGAAAGGCCCCCCGCGGGGGAGGTTTTCGGGGTTAGGACTGAGGCATGGGGTTAGGCAAGGGGGCCGGGCAGGGGCTGGGGCCGCCAGCCCCCGCAGCCGCAGACGGTGAGTGCGGAGCGCCAGAGCCGCCGCTACTCCGACATCTGAGCCGCTCGCCGGCGGAAGGGGGGAGGATCTCCTGCGGGCCGGGGCGCCGCCCCCGGGCTGCCCCTGGGTCCTAAACACCCCGCTCCCGAGAGCACCGGGGCGACCAGGCAAGGCCCTGCCTTCTCTCCCAAAGTGCCCACCCCAGAGCCCTGCCTCGTGGGGACCAGTCTGGGGACAGTCCGAGGGCTCTCCTCACTAGAGCCCCGATGCCCGGCTCCCGATGTCTCCGCCCACCAGAGGAACGGGCCGCGGGCTGGGAGAGGTTTCTGAGGGCAGTCCTGACCCGAGGGCAGTGGGCCTGAGAGAGTTATTAGTACCAACTGCCGGGCAGTGAGCGGGTAGAACCCGGCGGACCTGTGCGCCGCGCGCTCCCGCGGGGTGGGCGAGACGCCGCCGGCAGGGGGCGCTGGAAGACCGGGCGCCGACTCCGCGCGCCGCTGGCGAACGTCGTGTCCCAGCTGGACTTCGCGGCACCCTGCGGAGCAGGCGACGGGCGGAGGAGTAGAGGAAGAGGGAACTTCGATCACTGAGAGGGTGTCGAGGAAAGGGGCACGAGGGTCCAGATCTTGGGGCAGCAACAGAGGAGCACAAAAGTATAGGGCGCACACCAAGGGCGTTCGGTGTCTGAGGGCCCTCGGGGCATCTACTGAGCATACATTCTCAGGGCCCCTGGCGGCCGGGATTGCGGGGTACCAGGGCGCGGTGGGCGCCAGGGGCGGGGTGCCCTCTGGGTGCCGCAGTGCAGGGCCGCGCCCCAGCCTGGCCCCGCGGAGGTGATGGGGCGGCGGGGGAGGGGGCGCCTCTTAATGGGTAAATATAAATCTCACCTTATCTGGCTCCCGCGCGCTCTTCCCTAAATTCAGCTCGGAGAAAAGATGGATCATGTGAGTGGGACTGAGAGGTTTATGGAGCTGAGCTCCCTCGGCTGTAAATTATCCTGCCCTCCCCGCTATAAAGCGCCTGTCCAGCCCGGCGTGGGAGAGAGGACACGCTCGCCGCCCTCTGACCCCCAGCTCAGCGCGGGCTCCCGGCCCAGCCAGGTGGGTGCCCCGGGCCAGGGGCCCACGGATTTGGGGAGTGGGAGCCTTGGAGACCCGCAGGCTTGCTTTCCTCTCTCTCCCCAGCGCTTCCTCTGTAGCGCGCTCAGCCCGGTCTGAGTCGGGAATCCCCCGTCCCCAAATCTAGGGATACGATGGGGGAATGAACCTGGGGTCCTGTTCGCTCCTCCCCCACAGTGACCCCTCCAACCTCCTCCAGTCGCCCCTGCCATGTCCGAGGAGCTGGCCCCCGGCCCCCAGGAGAGCCCGCCGGCGCCGCGGGCAGGCCCCCGCGAGGTGTGGAAGAAGGGCGGCCGCCTGCTGTCGGTGCTGCTGGCCGTGAACGTGCTGCTTCTCGCCTGCACGCTCATCAGCGGCGGCGCCTTCAACAAGGTGGCGGTGTATGACACCGACGTGTTCGCGCTGCTCACCACCATGATGCTGCTCTCCGCCCTCTGGATCCTCTTCTACCTCCTTCGCACCGTGCGCTGCCCCGACGCTGTCCCCTATCGGGATGCGCACGCTGGCCCCATCTGGCTCCGAGGTGCCAGGGCAAACCGGGGCGGGGGTGGGGTGGGCCAGGCAGGGAGCTGGGGTTCTCCGAGGAATTGTGGAGTGCAACGAGGCAGGGGGGTTAGAAGTCCCCCTGGCCAGGCTAGATGTGGCTGAGAGACAGGTGGACTGCAGTTGAGGGAGAAGAGGAAGAGAGATGGTCTTGGGGGAGGAAGGGGAACTTCTTTGCCCTGTCTAAAGATCAAGAAAGGGTGGTTAGGGGAGAGCCTCAGGGAGCAGAAAGCAGATGACAGCTGCAGCTCAAAGAGCCCATCTAGGGCTCTTCCCCTCACCTATTTAGCCCCCAAAAGATGGGAGCTCAATGGGACATCCATCCATCCACCCACTCAATCATACACTCATCCTTCCATCCACCCACTCATCTTTCAGTCCACCATTCACCTCTACATCCATCCATCCATCCATCCACCCACCTATCCAGGCAGCCAGCCAGCCAGCCATTATTCCACCCATTCATCCATCCATCTACCCAACCATCCAACCAATCATTCATCCAGCCATCTGTCCTCAGATCCACAAGCCTTCTCCCCTGCCTCTCTGATCCTCTCCACCCCCCTTCCCAGGCGGGCTGGTGCTGTTTGGGATCTGCAGTCTGGTCATGGATATCTTCAAGACTGGCTACTACTCCAGTTTCTTTGAGTGCCAGTCGGCCATCAAGATTCTGCACCCTCTCACCCAGGCTGTGTTTGTCATCATCCAGGTGGGTGGGTGGGAGGGAGGAGTGTCCTTGGATGTGGTGGAAAGGAACCAACCCCTGGAATGGGGTCAGGAGACCTGAGCTCCACTCTTATTCTACCCTGAACAATCAGATCATTGGAAATAGGACCGTAGAGGAGATCATATGAGCCCATACCTCGGGAAGCACTTGGTAATGAAGTAATATCCAAATGTGCATGCCTCCTTAGGGGCCTGTGATTCATTTCCACCTGAGCAGTGCCACTAGTTAACACTTAAGAGGTGTGAGTTGTGGCAGCCACCCTGTCTCCTAGAACCTGGCCTGCTCTCTCTGGGTGCCCATAGAGGGCATCAGTCTCAACCCAGGGTCCTGCTCCGGGCATGGCCAGTTTGGCCTCAGCCATAGCCCCTATATTGTGTATTTGTTTAGGAAGTAGGGTATGCTGTATCTGGGGTTTTTCAAACAAGTTCAAATATTTTTTTATTGCATAAATAACACTTGAAAAAGTCTTCCTACTGAGCTGAGGCAGGGCTGGTCTTACACGGGCCAGACACCAGCCCTGCATGACCATGTATGACCAGAATGACCATCACCCCTGTGGCCAGTTTTTCACAATTCAACACAGTTGTGACTTTGGAATTTATGTAGTTTTAGTCTTTTACATTTTATGGGTTTGAAGAAGACTCAGGTCAAATGAAAATACAGCTATCCCACATAGCAAGGGTTTGTTGGCAGCCACATGACAGCAAGGCCTTGCAGGACAACGGAGGGTGAAGATGGGGTGGGGATGTTGCCAAAGCTAGTGAGAAGTCACCAGAAAGTCTCTCTACCTTGGACAAGACCTAGCCTGAGGCTGGCTTTGCTTCCAGGAATAAATAATCAGACACTCAAATTCTACCAGACCTCTCCCCTCCAAAAAACAAACACCAGGACCAGAAAGTTCTACAGGTGACACTTTACAAATGATTAAAGAACAGAGTACTATTTCATATGAATTGTTCCATAGAATTGTTCCTGGTCTCATTTCAGAGAACTGACGTGAACTTAATAACCTAGTATGAGGGCTTTTGAGTCAGAGAGAACTTAATGCTGGGCGTGGACACGGACACGAGTTTAGCTGTATTCCTTCTGCAGAGTAAATTATCTCATCGCTCTCTCCACAGACTTACTTTCTCTGGGTCTCTGCTAAAGACTGTATTCATGTTCACCTGGATCTGACCCGGTGAGTGCCTGGTCCACAGCTCTGTGGCCCTGCCCACATGCCCGGGCTCACCTTGCATGAGATGAGGGCCTCCAACCTGGGGCACGGGCCCTTTCTGCCCCTGAGGTGGGGTTTCAGCCAAAGCCCCCTTGCTTTGTCAGCCTGATTTCCATCACCGTGTGCAGTGGTGTGTGTGAGTGTGGGTGTGTGTGTGCGCGTGCACAGGTGTGTCTGTGCACCTGCAAGTGCTTAGGTGGGCGGGGCTGTGACATGCGCTATAGGTCCCCCCCCCCTCAGGGAGCAGCGGTGGGCTGAGCCCCTGGATATCCCCAGGCATCTCTGCATCCCTGCCAGGCTATGTTTCTTCCAGCTTCCTGTTCACACAGGGGCCTGACTGTCTTCTTGTTTCTCAACACTGTCTCCCACCAAAGCTCCCCAGTCCTCTCTCCACCTTGAAAGGGACCCAAGACAAGCCGAAGAGTTTTACTGGCCTCTTTGCTACCCCCCCACCACCCCACCCCAAACAGGTGCGGTCTCATGTTCACACTCACCACCAACCTGGCCATCTGGATGGCAGCCGTGGTGGACGAATCTGTGCACCAGGCCTACTCCCACAGCAACGCCAGCCACTCGCGCCTTGCTCCTGACCGTGAGTACCCACTTCGGAGACCCCCTGGCCCTGGGACTCCCAGGCCTCAACTCCTCCTGCTCCGGGCTCTGACTCTGACACGGGGGTGTAGGTGGCACAGGAAGGGGAGTACCGGGGGCACCTTCTCGTCCTGGAGAATGCAGCCTTGGCCCCACTGTCCAGCTCTTCGTTCCACGAAAGACGAGACTCGGGCTCCAAGGAGAGCGAGCAAAGGCGACCGAACTGGAGGGAGGGGAAGGGAGGCAGAGCGGCTGGACGGTGGGAGCATGGGATGGGATAGAGAGCTGGGCAAGGGGAACCTGGAATAATAATCACGAGGATAATGGTGACAACCTACCGAGCTCTGCAGGTCAGGGGCTGTGTGCTAAGCGTCTTAAACACTCTGTGTTACTTAACCCTCACAACTTCCCTGTGAGAGGGATAATATTAACATTCCCATTTTACAGGCGCAGAAACTAAGGTATGGTGAGGTTCTGTAGCTTGCCCAAGGTCACCGAGCTTGAAATTGGACAACTAGCGTTCAGATTCATCTTTGCTTTTAACCAAAGTGCTATACCGAGGAAGAATGAGGTCCGAAGTCCCCCTGGTTCTACTTCTCTGAACCTTTCTAGGGCCCCCCACTAGCCAGCACCAACAGGATGACTAAGTCTACCTGGATTTCACCTGAAGACACATGCACACTGCCGGTTTGGGAGAGTCTAGGAAGGACAAGCATGGGCCCAGCCCCCCAGGAGACCCCAGCCCAGCGGGACTGACCAAGGGCCCACTTTTACCCACAGAGGGCTCCTGAGGATGGCTAAGCAACCTGGGAGGTAGCCAACTGACTGTGCTGGGCTGCGGGGCACAGAGAGGCGCGCCGAGAGGTACCTGCCCCGGGGTCCGGAGTCAGGCCATTCGTGTTAACACCGCCGTGACAAGTCACTTTGCCTCCGCGAGCCTCAGTTTCTCCATCTGCAAAACCAGCTGGGATAGTTCTGGGGATCGAAGGCGATGTTTGTCAAGGCCCAGGCATCCTGCAGAGCGCAGTGTGGGAGCAGGATTCCTTTTAGTGGGGTACAAGCTGAGGTGGTGGGAGGTCACGGTCCAGACCCAGGCCCAGCAGTTCGCTTTCTGGGCTGAGTCAGATGCTGGGGAGAACTTAGAGGAAGCTGGAACTTTCGGGGTTCCCAAGAGGGCCACCTTCTGTCAAGACCAGAACCTCATGGGTGCCGGGGAGCAGGGGTTAGCACTGGCGGGGACAGACTGGCAGTGCTTTCCCGAAGGAAGGGGATGGGGTGAAGCGGCAGCTCTGCAGTGAGATTGTCTGTTTTCATCGAGCGCTGGCTGTTGGTTACCCATGGGTCCGCAGGCGCTGGCACACCGGAGTTCAATAAGGCATCGATGAACGTGCCAAGCCCGGCGTAGGCGTGTGGGATGTGGTGGTGAACGTGGCAGGCAGAGAGAGACCCTGCCCTTGCAAAAGTCACAGTCTAGGGGTGCAGCTCTGAAGATAGGGCACCTCCAGAAGGAGGGGAGGGCAGTACAGCTCTGTGCCTGTCTCTTTCCAGCGGGTCGCATGGGCAGCCAGATCGGAGGAGACTGCTCCTGCAACACGGCCATCTGCCAGATCTTCCAGCAGGGCTACTTCTACCTGTACCCCTTCAACATCGAATACAGCCTCTTTGCCTCCACCATGCTCTACGTCATGTGGAAGAACGTGGGCAGGCTGCTGGCCTCCTCCGCCCACGGCCACAGCCACGCCCCAGCCCGGGTGAGCCTCTTCAGGGAGACATTCTTTGCTGGGCCAGTCCTGGGCCTGATGCTGCTCGTGGTGGGGCTGGCCGTCTTCATCATCTATGAGGTCCAAGTGAGCGGGGAGGGGGGCCACACCCGGCAGGCCCTGGTCATCTACTACAGCTTCAACATCGTCTGCCTGGGGCTCATGACCTTGGTCAGCCTGGGTGGCTCAGTCATCTACCGATTTGACCGCCGGGCCATGGACCATCATAAGAACCCCACACGCACCCTGGACGTGGCCCTACTGATGGGTGCTGCCCTAGGCCAGTATGCCATCTCTTATTACTCTATCGTAGCCGTGGTGGTGGGCATGCCCAAGGACGTACTGGGGGGGCTCAACCTAGCCCATGCCCTGCTCATGATTGCCCAGCACACCTTCCAGAATGTGTTCATCATTGAGAGCCTCCACCGAGGCCCACCCGGGGCTGAGCCGCACGGTACCCCTCCCAAGGAACCCTGCCTTACCTTTGCCAACCTGGATGCCCTCCACACCTTGCCAACCTGCCCACCTAGCCCCAGGTTGGATGGTCCCAGCCTGGCAGGCCCTCAGGAAACCATAGCCATCATCTTGGCCCCCAAGGGCCACTGGAGACGCCGGTGCCTGAAGGACATTTCTCTGTTTCTCCTGCTCTGCAACATCATCGTGAGTACCCGGGGGAGATGGGTGTGGGCCGGGGTGAGAGAGGCCAGGAAGGAGGTTCCTTCCGGTGTATTCGCTTGGCTGTCTCCGTCTTGCCCCCAGCCTCCTGGAGAATCCTGGGGCTGTCCAGGCAGGAGTAGCTTCAGAGGGTCAGGCACAGCCCCGGCAAGCAGCGTCTCGGGGCACACCGAGAACGAAGTCCTGCGTTCTGGCTTCCAGGCAGCAGCTGGGGTTGGAGGGGCCCCCGGGGAATGCGGACATGGGCTGGGCAGAGAGGAGAGGGAGCTGTAAGAACTGACATGGAGGCTGGGAGCCCTGGCCCTCGGCTGGGAGGTGTGACAGCTCCTGGGAGCTTGTGACTGGCCTGCTTCTTAGAATAACTAAGCAGCAGCAGGAAGTAGCGGAGACCAGTGTACGTGTGAGCGGTCTGCTAGCAGAGTGTGGCGGTGGGCTGGCTGGGAGGGGGCACCCACAACAGCCCTCCCGCACCAGTGATTCAGCAAAGCCCCGGGCTCAGTGAGATGCCTCTGTACAGCAACAAGCTTCACCCAGCACAAATATGCGCCGGGGATGGAACCCTCCTCACGAGGAGGCACCCCAGGAGAGGAACACTCCTAAGGTCGCTACCACCCAGCCGTGTAGATAGAATCCCCAGGGCAAAATCTCCGTACCCATATGAGTACATCCCAGAGACAGAATACACCTCTAAAGAAATTCCGCTCAATATGAAAATAGCCCTTTTAGCTATAACCTCCAATAGAAAAAACAAACAAACAACTCACAACATAGTAACAGCCTTAATGTGGGTATATCACAATCAAACATCTCCAGAGAATTCCACCCCAGTTACCTACATGAAACACACCAGCAATCCATCCTAACTGAGGGGCAGTGTCAGTGAAGTCCCCACTGTAAATATTGCCCGTCCTACAGGTAGCCTTCAAAAAAAGAGTCATCAGCAATCTCTGACCTACCAGTGGAATCCTATCCTGCGCCAGCTTTAGTGCCGGCCCCACCCCCACCTTCTGCTGGCCCCACCCACAGGTTGGGAATCGCCTTTGGGAAGGCTGTGTTTGCTCCAGGTAGCTGAGCCTGGATCAACTCCGAGAGCATCATCTCCAACTCCTTCATTTCATAGGACGGAAACCGGTTGAGAGAGGGGCTGTGATGTGCCCAAGGACGAAGTTAATTAGGGATGGGAGGGTGGGTTTAACCTAGAAACTCATACCCCACACCAGAACCTCCTGGCTGGATCGTGATTCTGCCTTGGGCCTGTCTGATTCTGCCACAGCTCTCTCCAGGAGAGAGCTCCTGATTTAGCCATTTCTAAATTTCTACCAAATCTCATGTCATCTATCGAAACCTCCTCTCCCTCCCCTCTCCGTCCCACAAGTGGGGCATCCCACTAAGGGCGGGGGATGTGATCACAGGGGAAGCCCTGTTGGGTAGGCAAGTTGAATTGGGCACATTTTCTGAACTCCTTAGTGAGTGGCAGTTCCTGCCCAAGACGCGAGGGGTCCCCACTCAGCAACACCCAGCCCTTGCTATCCACCAAACTATAGGGCTGGGACCCCCAGCCAAGCCTGCTGCTGTGACCCAGTCCTGGCTAGGCCCTGACACACCCTCTCCCCCACAGCTGTGGATTATGCCTGCCTTCGGGGCCCGCCCGCACTTCAGCAACAAGGTGGAGGTGGACTTCTACGGCTACTCCCTCTGGGCAGCCATCGTCAACATCTGCCTGCCTTTTGGCATCTTCTACCGCATGCATGCTGTCTCCAGCCTGCTGGAGGTCTACGTGCTGTCCTGAAGCCCCCATAGGCACATGGGAGGGGAGACTCCGCTCATGCGCCCACCCAGAGACCCTGGGAATGCGCCCCAGGCTGGTAGTCACTGTGCCACGTCACCACCTGTTCCCCGCTGGCCCCAGAGTGGAATTTTCACAGAAGTTATTTTTTCAGGATGTTTTTAAATTGCAGTCAGGACATGCCCACCCACCCCAGCATGACCTGGTGCATGGGGCTACCAGGCAGAGAGATTGCTCCCTGAGGCATTTCTAGAACCAGCTAAGATCTGGACAGTCCTGGCTCTGGCTCCACCCTCATCCCAGCCCTGTGATCTGGCCAGTGCTGCTGCCTGCAGCAGGGAACCAATAAACTTGCAGTTCACCCCTGACCCCCACTTCTTGGCTCAGCCACCCCACATGAGGGGATCACAAGAGAGGATCTGGGGGGTCCAAGCTGGAAGGATCCCTCGAGATTTTCAGGTCTAAAACTTTTCAGTGGGTGAACCAAGTCTGAGTTACAAACCAGTTACAGACTAGCACCTGGTGGCTGGGAGGGGCTGGGCAGAGTACCCAGGCTGCCACCTCCCTCCTCTTCCCTTTGTCTTCAAGTGACACACATTTTTCATGTGTTCCACGGCACAGGAAAGGTCAGGAAGTACTGACCTAGTCCAACTACCATTTTACAAAGAACAAATCCGAGGCCCAGAGAGGTACCTACGTCACACAGCTAAAGAGGGCCAGCGTCTTTCAAACAGCAGAATCCCACCCCCCCAACAAGTGAACTATTTCAGGAACCCAAGTTTACATCATAGTTGTAAACAGGGCTGTGTTACCTTAAGAAGAGTTGGGGACACAACCCTTCATTCCCTGGGCCGCTTCCCCAGCACCCCCACTCCTCGGGGGTCCCTGATACTCCTCTACAAAAGTCCATGGACTCAGCAGGGAGAGAGACTGAGGTCATCAGACAGAACAGAGAGAGGAGAAAAAGAGGCCCAACAGCTAAGAGGAGAAAGACTGGGTGGCCTGCTGAGTCAGGTGAAGGGGGTGACAGCTAGAGGGGGGACGGGATGGGGCCGGGTGGGAGGAGAGCGTGGGAGAGGGACTGGAGCACGGGGCGGGGGGCGGGGGGCTATAGAGGAAACTCCCAGCCAGCAGAGTGGGTGGGTGCGTCTCAGACGCCACGGGAGAAGTTGAGGAGGGCCGGAGGGGCACCTTCTCACCCTGCCCGCCTCCGGCCCTGTCCGAGGGGGGTCTCTTCCGCCCCGAGGTCACGGTTGACTTGGGGAGAGTAGATGCTGGAACAGGTGGGGGACAAGGTTGCAAGGTTGCTGTGAGACCGCAGCCAGCCGGTGCTGAGTGGGATTGCAGGAAAAGGCGACCCCAGACCTGGGGGTTCCACTCCTTGTTGGAGGTCAGAGGAGTGTGGCCTGAACCCCCGCAAGGCCAATACTGCGGCCTAAGGACATTGCACCCCACCGCACCCCAGAGGCGGCCGCCAGCGGGTCCCCTGACCCTGAGCCCCACGCCGGTACCTCCTCTGGCCCCGCCTGCCCGTCAGCCGCCTCGCCATTGGCTGCTCTGTCCGGGCCGGAGCCCCTGGCGGGTAATTAACGAAGGATTAATGACATCCCCAAAGTCAACAGAAAAATCGATGGGCCGAGGAGCCCGAACGGCGGCTGCGCAGTCCCGCCGGGGGAGGGCGTCGGGGGCGCCGGTCCGGGCGCTGGGGCCTCACCTGGACGACTATCGGGGCTGCGCCCGCAGTCGATGGTCAGCCGGCCGCGATGCCTGCCCAGGCCTCAGGTAAGGCTCCCCGGCGGCGCCCTGAGGGCCGAGGTGCCCTCGGACCTCGTGCGGGACGTTCCGGGCAAGCCCACCAGGACCCTCAAACCTACTCCTTCCCGCGGGGTTCGGGGCTCGGGGCTGCAGGCATTGAGGCGGGAGGGCGGGAGGACCGGGCGAGGCCAACCACTGGCGACTCGAGCGCCCGCCCCTCTCCCCCCCCCCCGGACCCAAGCCCGGCTCCGCGCCCACCTGCTCTCCGCGGACGGGCCCGCAGCCCCAGGCGGGCGCGGAGGCCAGGAGGAAGCGAGAAGCCCGGGGAACGGCCAGAAAAACAGGCAGTGGGGTTGGGCCGCCTGGGCGCAGGGGCTGAGGCGTACGTGCAGCGGCCGCCCCGGCCCCGCAGTCCCCCGACGGCTCGGAACGAAGCCCGGAAGCTCGCGGCCCCGTCCCGGCTGCGCCCCTGGCCGGGCGCCGCGCCCCGACGGCACCACTCTTTCATCACCGGCCTCCGACCGTAACCCACAAACCAGTTGTGCGGGCTCTCCCTTGGGCTGGCGTCGCGCCGAAGGGCGTGCCAGAGGCTGGCGGGTTCCTCTTTGTCAGTTCCGGGCGCCCTGGCCCTCTTCCCGTGCCCCCTTTGTTCGGGCCGGTCCCCCTCTCTCGGGGCAGATCGAATCCGCCACTTTGAGGGCTCCCCCTAGCGGCCGTTGGAGGGTTCAACCCCGCGGGCGGAAGGCGGGGACGTAGGTTGAGGACCCTGGAGGGAGAGGACCGGCAACCTTGTCCTCCAGGGTCCCCTCCAGGCTTGCAGTCTAAGTAAAAACCGCCACTGAAATTCACCAACAATCCGACCCTCCAGCGTCTCCAGGATTTCGAAAGAACTGGAAGAAAATGCTCAAATCGCTAACATTGAGAGCCTTCTGTGGGCCAGACACGGATCCACATTCCTTTACATAAATTAAATCATTTAATTTCGATGAAATCCCTGTGGCATAGGTATTATGCATTAGTCCCTTCATTTATTCGTTCAAGAAATCGTTATTGAACATCTAGTATATAGCAGGTATATTCCGTAGTTGTATACCTGCTTTACAGTTGGGGAAACTGAGGCTCAGAGAATCTAAGTAGCTTGTCCAAGATCACACTGGTAATAGGTGTCAGAATCTGGGCTCTCGATTATTAGGCCTTGGGAAGATGAGGGAGATTCTGGCAAAGGCAGGATGGAGCTGTCAAGGGCGGGAGAAAGGGAGCAGGGAGGTGTGTCCCCATGAGCATCAGGCTTGCTCAACCTGGGCGGGGGAGATGAGCAGAGATAAAGATGGTTTGAAAAGTATCTTCCACTGGGCCAACTTGGTGAAGGTTTCATGGGAAGGGTCTCTGTCCATGACTCCAGTGCTGAAAGTTCCCCACAAATGCGAGTGGTTGGCAAGTACTAGTTGAGTGTCATGCTGTGCCAAGTTTGGGGGTCTGACTTAAGCAGGACCTGGTCTCTGCCCTGGAGGAGTTCCTGGCCTTGAGGGGAGCCAGCCACACCCACAGCACCACCCCCAGGCAGTGCGCACCCACACTCAGTAGACCTTGGACAGAGAGGCTTCCCAGGAGAGGCCCTGAGGTGGGTGGTGAGGATGGGTGAGAGCCACAGGGGAGTGAGGCAGAAAGCACAGCGGGCTCCAGGAGACCACCTGAGAAATCCGGAGCCCTCTGGCTAGGCCTGGATGAATGGGGGTGGGGGCTTGGAGTGTGATGAGGGGGCTGGACAGCGAGAGGGCAGAAGTGAAGTGAGGATGACAGGGAGGACCGGGAAAAGGGGAGAAAATCATGCAGAACCTTTCAAAGAGGACCAAGTGTGATTATTCTATTTGCCCCAGAGAGTAGAAGTATAAAATATCAAGCAGGTTGTACATGGAACAATGAGGGGCATTAAAAATTTTTTCCCTTTATTGATTTTAGAGAGAGAGAGGAAGTGAGAGGGAGAGAGAGATAGAAACATCGATGAGCCAGAACATCGACTGGCCGCCTCTTGCATGCCCCCCACTGGGGATCAGGCCCACAACCTGGGCATGTGTTCTGACTGGGAGTCGAATCGGCGACCTCTTGGTGCCTGGGTCAACTACTGAGCCACAACAGCCAGATTGGGGGGCATTTGAGAGCCAAATGAGATGAGGGTGTCCTGGCGGTCACAGAGTGGGAAAGTCTGGAGTGTCTGAAGTTCAGAGTTCAAAGGGACAGACAGCAAAGCGCAGCCAGTTAGCGAGAGCGTGAGAAGGGATGCTCCAGAAGCATGTACGGGGCTCAGAGGGAGCACCAAGAGGGGGCGCTAATCTGGCTTTGGCATGGGGGTTCAGGGGAGGCCACTTAGGAGGTGGGGCTCTTCTGAGTCCTGAAGGGTAAGCTGCAGTCAGCTAAAAAAGCAAGGGGTGGGGATTATGGGCAAAGGGTGGGGTGTGGGCAGACAGGGAGGTGAGCAAAGGTAGGAGCATTCTGGGAACTAGCAGGATGGCACGGCCCATGGGCAAGGGAGACTGAAGACAGTGCTGGAGATGTAAGTCGAGGCCAGACCGGGAAGCGGCAGCAGCTACCCTGCCTTGAGCACACTGCGCGTTACAGGCTCATGCTACACACACGCTGCCTCCTTTCATTTGGAGAGAGCGTGCTAGGTGGTTGGGACTTTACACTGAGGGCAGGTAGTTGCCTTTGCTGGGCTCACAGTAGGGGAGAGGCATGGTGGGCAGGGAGACCAGTCCAGGAGAGAGAGGAGGGAGCCCTGGGCTAGTGTAGTGGTTGAGGTCAAGAACTCAGCCCTGGCCGCTTTGGCTCAGCGGTTGGAATGTCAGCCTGTGGACCAGAGAGTCCTGGGTTTGGTTCCCGCTAGGGGCACGTAGAAAGAAAAAGAGAGGGGGAGAGGGAGAGAGAGAGAGAGAGAGAGAGAGAGAGAACACTCAGCAATTTGTGGGCTGGAGTAGACAGGCGTGGGGTCCGAGAGGAGGCCAGGTGGGGCGAAGCAAGCAGGATGCCTGTTTCCCTGCTGAAACACGTGGGGGTGGAGACGCCACTCCCTGAGATAATGAACCTCGGAAGCAGGCCTCCTGCAGCCTGAAGAATGGGGACAGTGAGCACCTAAACCCAGAGCCCAGAGCACCCGGGATCTGAGGACAGCGCAGGACCAAGGGAGAGCACCCGGGGTGGCAGGGGTTGGTGAGGGAGCCTCCTGGGTCGGCTCAGGAGAACCCTTCCCATCAGGACAGCACTCAGCACCAGCGGGGCACCCCCTCTCTAGCACAGCTCAGTCCCTCGAGGAATGAGTACCCAGAGATCCACAGGGAGAGAGTGCTGGGCTCCAGCCGAAGGCCCTCAGCTGCAGGGATGTGGTGACCTAGATCTGAGTCCAAGAGATGGGCGACAAAGGGGCTGGCCTGAGTGGACGCTTGGGGACGATGAGGAAGGAACAGGAGACATTCAGGAAGAGAGGGGTCAAGGATGATGTCCTCCACGTTGTGCTGGGCATTTACGTAGCTAGGGGGAGGTGGTGCGGATGGATGTCAGCTCCGTCAAGGTCGAGGGCATGGCATCCGTGCTGATCCCAACCTGTCCCGTGCTCATGGCAGACGCTACACATCAACCCCGGAAGTTTTCCCCGAAGCCTTTCAAATTAGTTTTAATCACACACATAATGTGCTTCTGAAAAACTAGAACATGAAACCACTTCCATTTTTCCTTTCCCCAGAAGAAACTCCTGTGGGAAATCTAGCTGGTATCTTCTAGACCTTTCGAAGTAATTTTATGTACACTCATATGTATCCATAATAGAGTACTATTTCGTATCACCTATTTCCCACCAAGCCCACACCCGGCCTCAGGATCCCTCTCAACACAACACTCTAGGCAACTGTCACCTGCTCATCGGAGTCAGAACAAGAGAGGACACCTGCTTGCTCTCACTCCGGAGTGAAGTTCCTCCCAGAGGTCAGCAGAGCACGAGCTGCCTTTTGTTGCCAAAACGCCCAGCCCCGGAAAGTGCCCAGTGGCCAAGCGCTCTGCAGAAGCCCCTGGCTCCCGAGACAGACGTTATTCCATCTCGGGATCAGGCTCTGAGTCCCGAGGGGGTGGTCCTCAAGCAGTGACAATGATCGGTGCTATTGTCCCCTGGTCTGTTTGAACCTCCCGGGGCCCTGGAAGGTAGAGGGACAGCTGCTATTATTTCCAGTGTTCTGACCAGAGAGGTTGTGTAATTTGCCCCAGTCGCACAGTAGTTAGGGGCAGGGATGGAACTGAACCCAGGATGGCCTGACAGCCAACCAGGACCCTTTCTTCCTCCCCAGCCCCTGCTGAGGCTCCACCGGTGGCCTCCGCAGCACAGGAGACTGGAGCAGTCCTGGCCAAAGAGAACCGAGTGGACGTGGGGGCCGAGGACACAGGGGCCCCGGCTTCACCTGGCCCAAAGTCCTGGCTGGTGCGGCATTTCTCACTGTTACTGCGGCGGGACCGGCAGGCCCAGAAGGCTGGGCAGCTGTTCTCGGGGCTTCTGGCCCTCAACGTCGTGTTCCTGGGCGGTGCCTTCGTCTGCAGCATGATCTTCAACAACGTGGCCGTCACGCTGGGCGACGTGTGGATTCTGCTGGCCGTGCTGAAGGCCCTCTCCCTCCTCTGGCTCCTCTACTACGTGGTGGGCACCACCCGCCGGCCGCACGCAGTGCTGTACCGGGACCCGCATGCAGGACCCGTCTGGGTGCGGGGTGAGTACTGGGGCTCTGGGTGGACGGCGGGAGGGAGGGCCCGGGCCAGGGCGGTGCCAACGGCCACCTGGCCCAGCCAGGCTCCCTGCTGCTCTTCGGCAGCTGCACCCTTTTCCTCAACGTTTTCCGCGTGGGCTACGACGTGAGCCACATCCACTGCAAGTCGCAGCTGGAGCTCATCTTCCCTGCCATCGAAATCGTCTTCATCGGCGTCCAGGTAACAGGCCTCTCCTGCCCCCAGGCCCCCGCGCATGCTCTCTCCCCACCCAGCCGCGTGCGCACGCACCCCAGCCTATGCCTGGACACCTCTCAGGCGAATACCTACATGGCCCAGATGATGTACACTCACACCGCAGCCCCCACAAACGCCTGCCTGCGTGCACCCACATCCACGCACACCGACGTAGACTGCACCGACGCACGCCGTGTACTGAGGCGCAGACACCTGTAGATACATCGGCTTGTGCCTACTTGCGTCCACCTACATCATGGAGCTGCCTTAATGCCTAGCTCCCTCCTGGCTTCCTGTTCTGCACCAGACATTGTTTCATTTGCATCATTTTTTTCTTTTCCAAAAAAAATAGGTATTTCCCTGAGAGGTAGGCATTTTAGTTCCCTTTTAGAGCTGAGGAGACTGAGGATCAGAGACATCTTGCCACTGGCCCAAAACCACACAGCAAGGAAATGGTGGAGCCAGGATTCCAACCCAAGTTTCCTCACTGTGTCCTCTATTGAAAGTACACCTAAGTAGCTGGGTGCACGCCCGGGTCCCACGCCCACCACCCCCAGCCTCTGGGCTCAAGGCCCTGTCTCTTTCAGACCTGGGCACTCTGGAAACACTGTAAAGACTGTATTCAAGTCCAGACCAACTTCACTAGGTAAGATGGGGTGCCTCCTGTCCTTCCTGCAACCCTGGGCTCTCTGTCCCCAGCTAGTGCCTGCCCCCCACAGCTTCCCTGAACAGGATGCCCTGGGGCTGCAGGTTAGTCTGAGAATGGTCCCAGGGGTCCCTAGGGCTGCCTCTTTTGAAGTCCCAGTGCCAGATGGGATCTGGCTTTGGGAGAGCGTGGCCACCCCAAATGCAGTGATGGTGAGGGTTGGCCACCCGAGGAGCCGGCCAGGCTGTGTGGGCAGAGTATGGCATCTCCTTCAGGTGTGGCCTGATGCTGACCCTGGCCACAAACCTACTGATGTGGGTTTTGGCCGTCACCAATGATTCCATGCACCGTGAGATCGAGGCGGAGCTCAATGCCCTCATGGAAAAGTTCTCAGGTACAGAAAAGACCGTGCCCCACCCTCTGAATGTGTGCGCACACACACACACACTCCCTCAATCGAGTGAGGCTCAGTGAGTCTATAGAGTTGGGAACAAACTCCAGAGGCTGGATCATGACTAAATGGAAAGTAGACATTTGCCAACAGTGCCCCTCCTGCCCCATTCTGTGCCTGCCCCATCAGGTGCAGGCACCCTGCAACCCCGCTCTGGCCATCCATCTAGCTAACCACTAATCCCGGCTGAGCTACTCACTGATAAGTTCGGGTATGCACCCCACCCCTGGTATTTGCATTATACTTGCAACAAACTATAAAGGAATGTCTTCCTAATACAATTGTGGAGGCCTGGATGTATCAGGGGGGACGGAATATTTCTGGGGAGGAAGGACTCCCCACATCATTCCATGTACCCAATCCCCACCTGTACGGTCTGCCCCTTAGAGGCTACGTCCCATAAACCTACATGGGTACATCACTGTCTGTGGGATCCAGCCACACCTATATGCATACAGCCCGCCCCAGGTGGTATCACCATCCTGACCTGTGCACACCCATGCACTTACACACCCACCGCATAAATCACTCATGCCCGCACTGTGCCCATTCCTCGCATCCTGCATACATTTCTCACAGGAGCTGTGCAAAGAGAAATTTTTGCAAGCAACATCATAGATTGCTTTATTATTAACAAATTCAAACACATATATCCATCATCCAGGCACAACAATGATTAACGTTTCGCCATGTTTATTTATTTTTGTTGAATTATTTACATTACGGAGATCATGGCATTTTATCTCATTAAAACGTTGTAACGTGCATCTCTTTGAAGTAAGTACATTTTGCTACACTACAACAAGGCTATTATAATTTCTTTTTCTTTCCTTTTTTTTTGTTAATCCTCATCCAAAGATATTTCTTCCATTGATTCTTAAAGAGAATGGAAGGGAGGGAGGAAGGCAGGAGGAGGAGGAGAGAGAGAGAAAGAGAGAGACATTGATGTGATAGACACACATCCATTGGTTGCCTCCCACATGACCCCCATTGGGGCCAGGGATAGAACCTGCAACCCAAGTACATGCCCTTGACCAGGAATCAAACCCATGACCCTTCAGTCTGTGGGCCAACACTCTAACCACTGAGCCAAACTGGCCAGGGCTAGGCTATTATAAAATTTTTTTAATCCTCACTCAAGGATATTTTTGTCCATTTATCTTCAAATAGAGTGGGAGGAAGGGATGGAGGGGGAGAGAGAGAGAGAGAGAGAGAGAGAGAGAGAGAGAGAAATCTATGTGAGAGACACACATCTACTGGCTGCCTCCCGCACAACCCAACCAGGGCTGGGGACCCAACAGCAACTGAGGTACATGCCCTTGACCGGAATTGAATCCACGACTCTCGTCTGTGGGCCAACACTCTAACCGCTGAGCCAAACTGGCCAGGGCCAGGCTATTATAATTTCTAAGAAAACTCCTTAACATCACCCCCCTCCTCTACATCAATCTAGATTAACTTTTTTGATAAGCCCATGAAACGTCTTTCACGATGGTTTGTTCAAACATGCGATGCATTTGGTTGTTCAGCCTCTTTTTTCCTAATGACATTGAGATTTGTCCAGTTGCTTCCTAGTGGTGGCATTTGCCTTGCTCACCCTGCTTTTCCTAGAAACTGGCGGTACGGGCCAACATTTTTATTATATTCAGACGAGGCACGGAAGGGACCGGCTTCCCACCACGAGGCTGCGTGCCTTGCAGGGCACCTCATCTCAGATGCCTGATTACCTCCCAGTGCGTGCTGCTGAGGGTTCAGGGGTAGCAGCCAGATTCCCCCCATTACAATGCTCAGGTTTCCCTTGTGCTCAGCGAGTGATCTATAGAGGTGACACTTGGCACCAGACTTCGTGCATTAAATCCTTTACATAAGCTCGACACCTGAAGTCTGGAATCCCTTTGCAAAGGAATGACCATCCTATGATTTCGGATGTCTCTCTCTGGGCCTCAGTTTCCATACCTGAGAAATGGGTGGCTGGGTGCCTTCCACCTCTGGCATACTCCAGGGGGTGAATGGGACTGATTTGCGCAGCTGGTGTTCTCAGAGCAAGGCCCAGCTGAAGGGCTGTGTTCCCCCCCTCCCCCCAGGCAATGACACCAACACGTGCCTGTGCCTCAACGCCACCGTGTGCGAGGTGTTCCGGAGGGGCTACCTGATGCTGTACCCCTTCAGCACCGAGTACTGCCTCATTTGCTGCGCTGTGCTCTTTGTCATGTGGAAGAACGTGGGCCGCCGCCTGGCACTCCACGCCAGCGCCCACCCCAGCACCCCGCCCTTCCACCTGCACGGGACCATCTTCGGACTGCTATTGGGACTGCTGGCACTGGTGGCGGGCGTGTGTGTCTTCGTGATCTTCCAGATTGAGGCCAGTGGCCCTTCCATCGCGCGCCAGTACTTCACCCTCTACTATGCCTTCTACGCAGCCGTGCTACCCACCATGAGCCTGGCATGCCTGGCAGGCACGGCCATCCACGGGCTGGAGGAGCGAGAACTAGACACGCTCAAGAACCCCACCCGCAGCCTGGATGTGGTGCTGCTCATGGGGGCAGCGCTGGGCCAGATGGGCATCGCCTACTTCTCCATCGTGGCCATTGTGGCCACCCGCCCCCATGAGCTGCTCAACCGCCTCATCCTGGCCTACTCGCTGCTGCTCCTCCTCCAGCACATCGCCCAGAACCTCTTCATCATCGAGGGCCTGCACCGGCGCCCACTGTGGGAGGCAGCTCCCGAGGGCCTGGCAGAGAAGCGGGAGGCTGAGCCGCACCGCAGGGGCTCCCTGTTGGAGCTGGGCCAGGGCCTGCACCGGGCCTCGAGGGCCTACATCCACTCCTACAACCACCTCAACTGGAAGCGGCGGGCGCTCAAGGAGATCTCCCTCTTCCTCATCCTCTGCAATATCACAGTGAGTGACACCCGGGAGGCATGGGGCAAAGCTGGCCAGGTGGGTCCAGAAAGCCTCATTCAGGAAGGGATGGTTCAAGGGGCAGTCATTGCACATGGACTGTCCCAAGAGTGATTGGCTTGTCCCTTTGATTGTCAAGGACACTTGCCTCTGCCCAACTAGCTCTGTGACTCTTGAGAGCAGAGCATGTCCCCCATCTCGCTGCAGGGTACCTGGCATGGGGGGGCATGCCAAGCACACAGCCAAGTGCACTTCGTAAACAAACGTGTCAGATATCTACTCTCAGGAAGCTTCCTGTCTAGTTGAGGAGACACCATGGGAACAAGTAGGGAATTACCAAATAACTAATTGTCCACTGAATTCAGTCAAAGGAAGAATCAGAAAGTGCCTGGTTTTGTAAAGAACTTCTGGCGGACGGTGTTGAGAGCTGCTCAGCCCGGGTCCTCCTCCCCAGGCAGTAGCTCTGCGTCTCGTGGACCGTCACAGTAACCATGCAGCAGGCACTGCTGCCGTCCCTGGGTCACAGGCGACCTGCCACGGTCCCACGGCCTACGTGTCTGCGCAAGGACAACTCAGGGTCGTTTGAGCTCATGTTGGTAATGGCAGTGCCGGAAACATTCCTCGGGTGTAGAAACCCCTGCCCAGGCAGAGAACAAGTAACGAATTGGCCCTGAAGTGTAGTAGGACCTCAGGGAGGGCAGTGTGGGCCTGAGTGGGCAAGGAAGGCTTCGTGGAAATTTGATCTGGCCCTTGAGAAACCGGCAGAATTTGGACAGAAGGCGGGGCTGGGGTAGAGGGGCAGAGACCCGCAGAGGAACGGAGCAGGAGAAAGTGGCTGAGATCAAGGCTCAGGGGCGTCCAGCTTGACAGAGCGGGGTGTACCATGGGTGGTGGCAACCTGGGGTCTCATGACCCATCGAGTTCAGGCTGGCTGTGGTCTGGACGAGGAGGATGTGGAGGGAGAAGGGCTGGTTCTGAAGGCCAAAGGGCGAGGGAAGTGCTGGAGGAGCTGCAGCTTCGGGGCGCCCACTCTGAGCTGAGTGTCTGGGAGCACCCCTCCCCCACTCAACACCCTCCTCTCCTCCCCAGCTGTGGATGATGCCTGCGTTCGGCATCCACCCCGAGTTTGAGAACGGACTGGAGAAGGATTTCTACGGCTACCGGACGTGGTTCACCATTGTCAACTTTGGCCTGCCTCTGGGGGTCTTCTACCGGATGCACTCTGTTGGGGGGCTGGTGGAGGTCTACTTGGGGGCCTGAGGCTGCCCAAGGAACCCACCCCCAGCAGGATCCCAAAGTGCCAAGGCTGGGAAAATGTAGCCCAGAGTCTCTGAGCAGACACCCCTTTCCAGGGGACCTTAGGACCGACTGGGTTCCCCAAAGCCTCCTCTTCCCCAAAGCCTTACTATGGGGGCAAGGGTAGGGGACAGTGGGTCACTGGGCAATGCCTGTCCCTGCTCACCCCCACGTCAGTACAGCCAGGGTGTACCCAGAAAGCCCCACAGCTACTCTGGGAGGGCCAGCCCTACATGGGTGAGTCTGGGGAGCTTGGAGGGGGCACCCCTACCCAGCCAGGCCCCTGGGGTCTGCCTCTCGCCAGAGGAAGAACACATGGTCCAAGTGGGCCCAGGGCACCCTGAAAGCAGGCAGCTCAGGAGGCGGCCCTGCCCTTCTGTCCCCACACACTAATGAGCTCATTAATTAGCTTCCAGGCAGGGTTCAACAGCTCTCTCCAGCTGCCATAAACTCTGTTTGCTCGATTGATTATGTTCAGTCTCCGCAGCATTTGTTCCCAGGGACAGAGCTGCTCCTCCGGTGTGGTAGGAAGGGACTGTCCTGGGCAGGGCTGTGGGCTGACAATCCTGTTTCTGGGCCAGGAGAGGTCTAAACCAATTCTCGTCTGATCCATGGGTGGAGGTGGAGACAGGGGCCAGGGCTCTGGAACCCCCTACCCCTCGTAGCACACCCTCTGACACAGCGCAGGGGGCCTTTCTGGAGCTGGCTCGCCACAGTGGCTACGACCTTTGCCTCTGGTGCCCAGGCCTGCTGGACCCTGTGAGCCACTGGGCAGGAAGGGCAGATATGACAGCCCATCCATCTCCCTGATCCCAGTGCAAACACGGGGCTGGACCAGGGTGAGGCCGGTGAGGCCAGGGAGGGCAGCTCCAGGCCTGCAGGCGGCCCTCGCATGCCTCTGGGCCCCTCCCCACGAAACTGGGCGCCGGCAAGCCAGGGCCAGGCGCCAGGAACCCCCACAGCTCCAGTGGCTGCCTGGGCCGTGGTCCCGCAGCTCTGTCTGCTAGGACAGCTCATGTTGGTGATGACAGTGCTGGCGTTGAGACCCCTGCCCAGGCAGAGAACGAGTAATGAACTGGCCCTAAAGTGTATAGGACCTCAGGCAGGGCAGTGTGGGCCTGAGTGGTCAAGGAAGGAGCTTGACCCCTGGGGTCATGCAGAAACCTGGGCCCCACCTCTCCTGTGTGGGCTCTTTCTCTGGGTGGCCACAGCCCAGGGGCCAATTCTCCAGACCCACCCCCACCCTCAAAAAAATGACAAACACAGGTTCCCAGTCGGGCACCAAGGCCCTCTGGGGACTGACTCTGGGAGGCAGACACTCCAACTTCCCTGAGGACAAGAGCCACGACCTGACCCTCCCCTCCAAGCACAAAGAGCCAGGGTGCAGAGAGGGGGGTTTATTGTGTAAAGAGGCCGATTGTACAGAGCAAAGATTGTACTGACACAGGTGGGGGAGGGAAGCCAGAGGCCAGAGGCAGAAGGACGGAGGGGAGGACAGAGGGTGACATCCTGCCCCCACCAGTCCTCCAGGCAGTCGGGGTGCGGGCGTGGGGAGGGCCCAACAGCTGCTCTCCTCCCCTTTGCCCCGTTACCGATGTAAGAGGGAGCCAGGCTATATTCACTGACCTGGAGGAACATAGCAGGACCCCCTCGACACCCTGCTCCAACCCTAAAATGCATGGGGTCCCCCAGTCTGGCTTTTGCAGTCAGCCAGCCCCCCGCCACCTCCTCAAGCTGCCTGGCCACCTGCCTTCCGCCCAAGGCCCCGGCCAGTGCTTTCGGGGTAGGAGAGGGCGGGCTCCCCTCACTCGGCCCAGGTGCCTCAAGAGACAGCCACAGCTCCCTTCGGACGACCCGTTAGGGCACGGTGACCAGGCCTCGGGGTGGGCAGCACAGGAGCTGGGCGGGCACTGAGGGTTGGCATAGAAACAGGTCTTCAAAGGAGAGCAGAGTGAGGTGGGGACCCCGGCTGGGGCCTGCAGCTGTGGAGACAGGATGCTCCAGGGCATGATGGGGGGAGTTTGGGGAAGGCCAGAGCCAATCCCCAGCGTCCCAGCCATAAGGGCCTCCGGGGCCTGCCACCCTGGACTCAGTCACTCTGCCATCCCCAGTCCTGATCATAGTCAGTGAAAGCTCAGAACGGTCAGTAGGTCCGGGGGGGAGGGGGGGGAGGGCCAGGGCCCCCACCCTCCCATGGCCCCTGGGCCTCGCAGGCTCCATCCTCACACCCGCTGGATCTCAAACAGCTTCACATCGGTGTCATACCAGACGGGTGGGTCCACATTCCTGCGGAGGGAGCGGGCTGGCATCAGGAGCTGGGAGGCTCCCAGGAAAGACCGTGGGGATGCGAGGCAGTGATAAAGCCCAGACCCTCCCATCCCGATGTCCCACCCCGACGTCTCACCCTGGACAGTGGGTGCCCACCCTCAACCAGACAGGACCACCCTGGTTGACTGTCTCGACATTAACCCCACTATGGTGGTGGGACCCAGTGCTAAGGCCCCCAGTGAGCCCCACTGGGCAGGCAGACCCTCAGGTGGACACTAAACCCACCCAGGCTGGAGACTGCCCCACCCCCACGAGGCCCACCTTAGATAGATGACGCCCCACATGTAGGTGCGGAACCACATGGCCGTGCCCGAGTTGGCCTGGTACTTTCGGATGAGGATGGGGTGGGGCACGGGCAGCAGCCCCACCAGGGTGCCATGCTGCAGGAACCGCAGGATCTCTGACTCGTCCGTCAGGCCCCTGCCAGGGGCGGGGAGGGGGTCAACATGTGGAAAGCCCACCATGAAGGTCAAGGGGAGCGTGGAGCTCACCCTGGACCCCCTCACCCGAGCCTGGACTGGCCCCTCCGCAGAGCCCCGCCCCCAGCCTCACTTGTCGATGCAGATCTTCTCCACCTGGGGGACCAGCACCTGGAGCAGCCTCATGATCGTTTGCAGCGGCAGCTTGGACTTCCAGGAGAGGACCTGGGGGAGGGACCAGGGTTCCTGGAACTGGGAAAGCAGCCCAGAGGCTACGGGACAAGCCTGACCCCTGACCCAGAACTGCAGGCTCCCCGAGGCAAGGTTTCCCGATCACCACAGCAAGGGCCCGGCATGGGACAGTGCCCATGGACAGTGACTATTTTTCGCGGTAAGAGCTGTGGTCTCGCATTGAGCACATACTATATGCCAGAAACTGCCCCCTTGGATCCTCACAACGGCATGGTCAGGTAGGGACATTTATTATCCCCATGCAAGTGCCATTAGCGGTGACTTCAGGAAACACAGGGACTGGGCACGTGATTCAGGGAAGGCAGCTGAAAGGGTGATTTATGAAGAAAGTTCGTGCCGTGGGCAGCTGACGCTCCACCCTGCTACAGAGGAAGCAACCGAGTCAGAGGGGCCAAGGTCACCCGGCCAAGAGGGCCGATCCCAAGTCCGACTCCCAGGCCAGTCCTTGGATTTGGACGCATTCCCACGGAGCCTTACTGAGCTGCTCCTAGTCCCAGGAGCCCCTGACCCAGCCCCCCTGTGGATGCCCCCTGCCCAAGCCCTCACCCACTCCGACGTCGGGCTCCACTGCCCACTGGCTGACGCGCTGGACAGTCGCCGCTGGTCCTGCCAGGCCTGGCTGGGCTCCTGTCCCAGGAAAGGGCGGGGTGAGGGGCGGAAGGATGCGTACAGGGTGGGCAGAGGGCAGAGTGGTAGCCCCTCCTCCAGCCCATCCCACAGTCTGGAACCTGGGAGGGCAACGGGGTCTCCCCACTGACCCCTGTGCATGGAGGGCTCACTCCCAACCGAGGGACAGCCAAGCCCAGTACCCTTTGCCCTGGGCCTCAAGCCCTGTCAGACCCAGCCCAGCACGGTGACAAGTTTAGGGTAAAGGCCTCAGATAAGGCTGATGGATGAGGAGTCTGAAGGCCAAGGGCTGGAGCCCAGGACCAATAAAAAAGGGAGGGTCTGTGAAAGCCCCTTCCCCAGAGTCCACTGGGTGCCTGCCCTCCGCTGGAGGTGGCCAGGGTGCCTTGGCCAGGCCCACACCTCCGAGCCTGGGAAGAAAGGCAACACCCAGCCTGGCCCAACTCCAGGGGTCCCCGGCGCCCACCTCCTCAGCCGGACTGCCGTCTGCAGAGCTCTGTTGGGGCGCAGGCTCCAGGGATCGCAAGGTGCCATCCTCGGATACCTGGGACTTCTCTGTCAGCTTGTCAATGCCTGGGGGCCAGGTGGGCGTGAGGACACCTGCCCAGTGGCCGCCTAGACAGCATCTCCACTGGGCCCTGCCCCCTCGAGGCTCCCTCCCACCCCTGCACCCACCTCTCCCGGAGCCCACACCCAGGCTTGAGGCACAGTGCCCCCACTAAGCTTCCCCTCTGGACTCCAGTACCTCCGCCCCCACCCCAGTTGCCATCCCCACCTCCTGTTTCCCAACTCAAGCATGTCCGTTGCCGGACATGGGGTGACACTCCCCCCAAGACCCTGCCCATCCCCCAACCACGCCAGTATCCACACCCTCTGCCACCCGCCAGTGCCAGACCTGGGGTGGCCACCAGGCTGGTCTTGAGGGTGCCCGGCTCGGCGGGGGCAGCAGGGCGGGAGCCCTCCATGGAGGCGCCCTCCTGGGAGCCGGTGCGGGACAAGGGCTCGGGCGCCCTCCGGCGCCGCTGCAGCGCCTTGTGGATGGCGGGCGGGTCGGTGGGCAGGTTGGCCAGCTGGTGGAAGACGCTGCGCTTGCGGATGATGGCATAGACCAGGTTGGAGTTGCCTGTGGGGAGGAAGCATCTGGCCTCAGGGAGGCCCCTCGCCTCCCCCTCCACCTGGGACAGGGAATGTGGAGGACCCGGGGGGAGGGGACATGTCCAAGAGAAGGAGCTGGGGCAAGGCTAGCACCCAGTGGTGTGTGCCAACTGTGGTTACACCAAGATGTACCTTTTGGGGAAGGAACTTTCGGGCTGAGCTCCCCTTGTTCCTTCTAGAGCCCCTCTCAACCCAGCATGAAGGGACGACACTTGGCAAAGT